AAAATTGAACAGCTTCTGGAAATAATCTCATTGATATGGAAAATTTCGATACTTTAAAAGTATGTTCGATTTGAGAAAGTGATTACCAAAGGTAGAATCCAGATTTTGGGTTCAGGTATCATGCTAAAAACAATTAGGTCAGCAGTTATTTCGCAGCTAGTCGGAATCAATTGTTTAGAAAATTCCTGTTTGAACTTCTTTGTTTTAGCAATATTCTATTCTTATATTAGTTAAGATCATGATATCAATTTGGTCGATACCGATTAACAACATAAAAATATAATTACACATCGGATCGTTGTTAAACCCCTTTCCTATCGAGTGCTTCCATGGTGTAGATTTGATTCATTCAGTTTTTTCTCAAAAAGATATTCTCCTGTTAGGAATTCGGAGTTTTTGGAATAAAAAGAATTGTACGCTTTTGCCAAAGTAGTTAAAAGGAGCACGCTATATGACATTCTACCTCTCTGTGGAATAAAATATTTACAATTCCTTGCTTCTAGGTACTCTTGGTTCCACTTCTTTTAGTCGCACAGCCTGGAATTAGTGCTAAAGCACATGATTTTTACCGATTGATGAAATTATTAATGATGTTAAAATTGTAACGATATTTTTCGAAGCAAATTTCGCCATAGAGTAAATTGTATAAGGTTAAATTTGCTCGTATGATTCAGTTGTCCAGTTTTCCCTAAAAAAATTGATTCTTGCCTTAGCTCAAATGCATATAAGTCCCGAAACAGATTCCTGTCCCCGGAAGTTTCAATGTGGAACTAGTAACTTCTTCGTTTTCATTTATTGAATTAAGTATATCCTAAATAATTTAAACAGTGAGTGTTCCGCTTACATGGCAAGACTCTGCGATATGTACTTCTTGTTTATCTGGAAATCCCAATTTTCAGAAATATTACTTTTTCATAAATTGTTAGTTGCATTAAAGTAGCCTTGTTGTGGGTCTGTTTCCTTCACATGTCAAGTGTGTGCGAGATTTCGTGTAACCGACATGACAAGAATATCAACCCTAAAAGGCTGGCTATGACTGAATGGGCGGAGCTCGACACTGTGAAAATCGCCCAATAATGTGCCAGTTATTCGTCTTCCCAAGTCTATCTGCGACTTAGTATACCTCTAAGGTATGAACTGTCGTTGAAAATCTCGTGTTGGAATTAAATTATCAGAATTGTGAGCACAATGAAACTAGCATGCATTTAAATCAGTGAGTGTGCAAAATTCTCGTTTGATAATTCTTTAGTCAAGATGTCCCAAATCCTTTCAGACAGCCTTGGATTCGCACACATCAATTTTAATAGATCACGTCTGGCTAAAAGGATGAGGGTTGAAAATTACTCTGGGATTCGCTCAAGTAGGTGTTTTCGCTACCACGTTAGAATGGTAAATGTCTAGGTCAAGAGGGAAAATATCACCAATCGTAAAAAATTAAATGAAGAGATATTTTGCAATAGCGGTGTATTGGAAATCACTACGCTACACTTTTCATAAAATAAAGCCAACAACACATAAGTGGCCAAACACCCTTTCCAAGTTCATAAATTTTATATGTACGAAATCTGAGGTGTGGGTGAAGAAGTTTTAGGAAAGAAGAATTCAGAAATTCTAGTTGAGAGGGACTTGAAACAGTCAACAACCCTACACTACACTTTCATAAATTATTGTCCATAATCGTTGGTAATTTAGGTTCATCGGATGAGAGTATTCAAATGGAAGTTAATTTTGCAAGATCTCTTCTCTGCGAAATGGCATAATATTTCTGGAGACTTCGACTTTGTTCTGCTGGGGCACTTGTAATTCATTTAAAGCTAACCATTGTTTATTGGCGTGCGCAAGCGGTATGGCTTGAAAATTGTTGCTTTGCAAATAGAGGTACACGTTTGATCTACCATAATGGCCAAGCTGATCACATCTCATTTGAAGGTGACTTTTGTGGCAGTCAGGACCAGGTACCTCACTAGCAGAAAATTGTGTTGGTCCAGTTGGAATCACTGGCGTAATTCTATCCGACTGAGTGCTTTGTATGGAATTATATCCAGTCTTCTGAATAGCCGAGGACCTATTTTCACCCCATATTTCCCGTATGGTTTGCATTTGTAATTTCTTGACAATTCGTGTAACATTCGGGTCCTTGGCATTAGAGAAGAGAGATAAGAAATTCAATCGCCAAAATTCATTTTGCTCAAGAAACTTGATTGTCTGATTTATCTTTTCAAAAGACGGAACAGCTGAGTTTTTGCATCGATTGACGGCATTATAAACAGCTGCTTCTGAATGAATGCGTCGTACAACGTCATCAAAAAGATCAGGCTTGTTCTTCCAAATAGATTGCATTTTTGATTTCCAGCAAAATATTTCCACTAGTTCTGAGAAGTTGGCCATTGTGAAACTTCTACTTGCAAAACGCTCAGTTGTTATTGATCGGGTCCATTTTAAATTCGTGTTTCACGTATAGGATGTTGGTTGCCTCGCCTCCCTGCACCCATAAACCACGTGAAGTCAGCCAGCTGAATGTTGTGTGAATCTCAAGAAGCTCTGTGTGGGTATAGATTCTACATCCCTGATGACGCAGGCACCTTGAAACCATTTCTAAACGAACACGACAGAAGAATTATTTCAATACAAAGGAGCTGCCAGTCACGAATATGCCTCACTCAAGAAACATGTCTCTGCAAGGGCCAAAAAAAACGAGCCGTGCTCGTTCGGGCACGAAATAGAAAAGCTCTAGAAATTTGTTTGCGCAGACTTGATGATGCATTTCCTCACCTTTATGCCTGCTCTAATTTAAACACTGCCAACACAACCCTCCAGATGATTCAGTTGAAAAAGTTCCACACCAACGAGGAACTCACGATAAACTTTCGGCCCACGACAGTAGTCTATTATCAGTTATCATTCAACTTCGATTCAGGTGATATGGCGAGATATGAGTACTGGCGTAAGACATCAGATGCTGTGGTCGTCAAGCAATTGGGTTGCACCTTACTAATCGCAATGAAAGATGTCTCTGGAGCTGGCTTTCTTCGTAGGTACGCCCTCATTAGCGGAGAAAGTCGTAAAAACGTCGTCACCGCCTACAACACTTTTCGAGCCACTTTTATTAACTTGCCGGAATATGAAGGAGAATGAGGAATCTAAAACAGTAACAACATTAAGGCCTGAGAGTTAGACAACTTTTTCACTTAAAAAATTGCCCAACGCGTGGGTTCTTGGACGGAGACGCTTGTGTGTACTAAATTTTCCTGTTTGTCTATATTTCTTTACATGTGTTAGCCATAGATATTTAGAATAAAATAACTATTAAATTCTCTTGCGAATTTATTTCCATAAAACATTATCTCGAATGGTCATAACCTAGGTTTTACACGAAAATTTCAACAGATATCTTTCGAAGGACCGAGGCAATAAGGCCCGTAGGTTGTCTGGTATTTTGATATAGCACTGTCTACTTGAATCGTACATAGCGTCCCTATCCAGGTAACCGTATTCCTCGGTGAGGTATCCTTCCAAGTTGCAGGGTGCTAGAACCTTGAAGCCTTCAAAAGTAACCTCCTGTAGTGGGAAAAAGTGACTCTTTAAAAACTTTTTGTTCAACGAATCATATACCCCGCTTTTGTGCCAGTTGACGCGAAGGTGGTGTTCTGGTGATTCAGGATGAGGTGAGAGGGTAAAAAGGTCGATGTGGATGCTGGTTAAGTCCTTTGCAAGCTCCTCTGCAAGAGCAGGTTTCATCAATTCAGCATTTCGGATAGCTTCTCGAATTCCATAGGGAGTAAAGGAGAACTTAGCGCGTTTGGATCCGACTCCAGTGTAGGGCCTCTCACGAATACATTTTTCCTGGTCCAAGTAAAACCAAGACGTGGAAGCAAACACATCTTGAAAGTCCACCTGAATTGTGGCGTTGAGCGGGGAATCGTGTCTAAGGCAATCAATATTCACAACGTTGACGCCACTATTTTCTCTAACGCAAAAGTTGGCTAATTGCGAGAGGCTACCGTTGCCGCATGCCCCAGAAGGATATTCAAGTGTGGCGAAGTCGTTATCGTAATCAAAAGCAATCATGTGCCCACCCTCGCGAAAAACACCTAACGCAGTTCCACCGTAAACGAAGCTTTCCACGCCAGCTTTCACGCAGATGTCGATAAATTGTCGCATCAGCTCCCTGTGAAGTGGCTTGAGGCAGGAAGTGCGACGCATTTTCTTGCCTATGTTGCGAGGTGTACACGAACCCCACATATCGAGTGATACTTGTGTCCTACCGGCCTGAACGTTCTGCTCCTCATCAAATAATCCAATTAGCGAGTTAAGGAATTCATCACCATCCATACGTTTTTTATCTAAAAAACAATGGTTTGTAATGTTTTAATGAACAAAAACAATTAGACTGATTGCAGATTTTGCGCATCCAATGGCCTGGAGTGTATGTGCATGACCTCCGTTAACATGTTAATTTTCATGAACATTCAAAAGTGGTCGAAATGTCGTCCTAATTGGTAAAAGAACGTGTTAAACGTTTCAGGACTGCAAAACGGTAATTATTTTAACATTTCACTTGCACAACACCAAGTAAGGCTGAGGTGGCAAGTACAAACGATAAGAATGGAATCAAGGTAGATTATTTAAGATGCTCTACACATATTAGTCTATCAAATTGATCATACCATGCTGTAGAACCAGGACGCTACGAAGCCATCATCGTATTCATTTATAAAAATCGCTCAACGACTTGTGGGGGACCTTCTTCAAATACTATAGCAAATCGCGTCCGTAGATTGTGATAATGAGCAGTCACAAAATACTGCACTAAAGAACCCGCTGTCCACTAAATCAAATGAATTGGTTACGCCGCTGTACGCCGCAAAGCTGGACGAGTACACGGGTTAGATATTTACACAAAATCAATTCAAAACGGAAACAACATTTAATATTTTCTCTGTTGTAATTGGGTCGCATTTCCCAACCTTTCTTGGAGTAAAAACAGTAACGATCCTAAACAATTGTTAAACCTAACTTTAATGGTTGAAGTAAAGCAATTTCAATTCCTAATATGAATAAGACTTAAGATTAATATTGTAATTTAGAAAACTATAAAGGGTCCCCAGGGTCCCATAGTTGCGAAACCCGTGAATGTCGAAACCATCAAAAAAAAAGAATTTAACCAGCATTACCTAGTGGCGCATGAACCAGACAATAAACAAAAATGCATGCATTGAATGCGTGTGCTAGCCACATGGCCCAGGTGACGCTACAAACCGATGACATAGACAGCCAATCAGGATAGCGTGAGGAGATTGTGACTTCTATTGGATAAACATACATGGCAGTTTGGCGCGGCTAGCGTTGTCATTCCGGGGTGTCGAATATACGATACGGGTAAGCTTTGAACTAGTATTACCTCAGCTTGTTTTTGCAACCGAAGAGCAAGACACAAAATCAACGCTAAACTTCATTTTTAGTATTTAGGTAGTTATGTTACTTCGTCATGGCCTCTAAAATTTGAAAATTATGGTTTTCCAACAAAGTGCTACTGTCTCAATTTTTGGGTTCCATCCAAGTTTTATTCCTTCTGCAAGTTATGGGAGGCAAAGCGTTTATTCCATATTTACCACGCTCAGGAACAATCCTACTCATTGGTTTGCACAATATAAATTAAGTGTTGAAATCTCAGAACTAAATGGACTAATTTTACTCGTTGGTTAACTTCACAATTTACGCATCACAAACCCCATAGTTTATTTGTTCACCTGTTCCACAGATTACGGGTTACTGATATCGCCACAGTGGTGCCCACTGTCAGAAGCTTTAAATCCCGAATGAATTGCACGCACAAGACGGTCTGCTGTCGCGTCTAAAGATCTCCATAAAGTTGTTCCAGCGGCTTTTTTGGGTTTTATCTCTTATCTGTAACCACTTTGTGTGTATCCGGGAGTCCACAATCGAATTTCGCATTCAAAAAATTAAATTGTATGGGACATTTGTGAACTACCAAACAATCCATGCATTTAGTAATGAACCTAACTCACATGTTATTCATAAGACGAGTTTTCTTCGAAACTGAATGGACAATTTATGTCATCGCTTAGATAAGGCAAATTAAAGTTTCCACATTCATCAGGGATACGGTTGCCTCATCTTCACCTAACTTCACGGGATAGTAAAGGATGTGTATCTCTTTGAGTTTTCAAATGTGCACGTGTCAGTGAGTTGTCATGTCTTGTGTGTATAAGATACGTATCTTCCTTGTTTTTTATTTCCCATTGATTGCAAACATCTTTTCCTTACGAACTAAGTTCTAGGATTAAGTTCTCCACTCATTGATAACCTAACGTGATGCACGTTAACTGCTTCATTATCGGTTGCTGATCTTTAGATATACTAACCGATTTCAGTCTTCTCTTAATCATGAGTGAATGTAACTTCCTAATTTATCATAGCTTCAGCTCCCATAATTATTTTCGAAACAACCCAACCTTCTCAATTCAATTGTTGAATGCTGGCGCTTGGTGATTGGTGACCTTAAAAACGTGTTTTAACTGTGATGATGTGAAAGCTTCGCATTTAGCATGTCTACCTCTTCAAGTGCTGTTCACTCGTCCTCTCTACAGTCGTGTCAAGTTCCTGTGGCTCAACCCTCGTGCGCGATTTTGTTACTTTTGTGACAATTCTGTTGCACTTATCGGTGGTCAAAAACGCGCACCCACGATGAAAGAATACGTCCACTTCAGCCCTGGCCTGTTTGTGCCTCGGGCGACTTTGCCAAATGGACTAAGGCGTACTAAATGGGTCGGTGCGAATGAAGAAATGGCATAAATTGATGCGAAATGCGAGCCTAACGAAAAGCGGTGTTTTGGTGAATACCAACGACTAGGTTTTAAATAAGGATGTCACTTGTGAAATTAAACAGGTTAAATTGGAAGTTGCAAATTTATGCTTTATTTCAGCACTGAAACATTTAGATGTATAAAATAGTGTGTGAGGCTTTTTGGTGGGTGACCTACCACTCACATTATGCGTTCAGTAAATTGGTGCATGGAAAAGTTATCGGGTCATCCCACTCTTTCCTGTCATTTGCTCTGGACTTAACGCCAATATCTGTTGTCAGTCAAGGGCCAACGTGGATTTCGTTGTTTCCGTGACCACATTTGTTTGTACCAATGAAATTCTAAATAGCAGTGAGACATGGTCGTTAATATTTGAGCGAATGAGCCATTTAATGATGTAACACAAGTTGGGATTTTTGGAATTTTAGTGTTCAATTCTTGCTAGCATCCTTACCCACGAATCCACCTCACTCAGTAGCTGCTTGATCGTTTCCTTGTGGCACTCAAAAGAATTTTGGAATCACGACCTGCATTTTGCCGCCTCTAAAACAGCGCCTGCCTATCCCCATCAGCCAGCTTAACTGTTGTTACGACTCCCGGCGCACAGGTGCTAAACCTCGAGCGCGATTACTCGATTCTCTCGTTGTCACGCTATCGACTAGCACTCAGACTGAACACGTATGAGTCAGCGCCTTTCCACGCTAACACAAAGGCAACAAAAGACCTCGTGCAGGGGACTCTTACCGTCCCAGCCAAAGGCCGCGCTCATGTTCACATGTGACCGTCTCTACGCCGCGTGGGCGCCCTTCTGTGTGAAGAAAAGTAGTACACTCAACGGTGCATGAACCAATAGTGAAAAGAAGAGGAATATGAATACGAAAGTTGGTGCGCATAAGCGCGAATGATCCTAAAAAAATAGAAAATTGTGGAAATCTTGACGGGTGTAGCCTTGGGATGCTGAATCCCCAACGAATATTCATCTATCAATTGGAATTAATTATGAATTAAATTTGATTAGTTTTAGCAACTTCTGTTCACTTGGATTTCTGCTAAATCGTTCTCCCAACTCCGGTGCTATTTTCCCGGCAAATTGTTTATTTTTAACGCATTCGCCGGGCTGCGAAATACCCATGATTTCGTGGCACCAAACAGAAAAGATCAGCCTGTGACTATTTCAAAAGTTTGACCCAAAAGTCCTCCAGCAAATTCACACAAAATTAATCGCGATGTGCTCCATCCAGGAAATTCTTTTATCCGGTAGTGTTATAAAAGTTCCAGCCCCTGGTAAAGAGTAAATTTCTCCAGCTATGTTGGTGCTCTTGCCTAGCGCACATTAAATCACTACCTTATCAAGCTCTCTTTCAAATAAATCCAATTTCCAATGGTCAAATATGTTAAAATATTCAAGGTCGATAAATGCCATCATTTTATCACTCAGATGCTGACTCATTGATCTTTAATGAGTGCTGGGTTCATATTGTGACACAGCCAGCCTCCGGCTGACCTTCGAGAATAGAACCTAAAGAGCCATAAGCACCCACTCCTGTTGCGAATTTCTCTGACATATTCGAATTGTATATGAAAGACGAGAACCGACAAAGTGTGGAAAAGTCTAATTTTGCCCCGCGTGCATTCAAGAGACGAGTAAGACGACTGGAGTCCGTTAATTAGGCTGACACATTTGTGCGATTAGAATGCTTGTGAATGTACCGCGGATGTGAACAGAAGGTGGAGACCGTGTTAGCCGTGGGCGTGAAGGCTGTGAATTAGTAAAGGCTGTCTCGGAATACTTCCCTCGTTAGTATGAATTCTCAACTCTACAGCTTTTCCCAATCTGAAACAATGGCAGCCTAACTTGTCTGTTTCAAATGCTGAAGCAAATGTTTTATTTTCAAGTCGTGTGTTTGTCCTAATTCATTTAGATTTTATCTCCATATGTTTGGGATTTGACCAAGTAGAACTTCAGTGGCGCTGGACAATTTTTATCACAGCCATTCTTTTTGTGGAAATGCAGCCAACTCATTCTAGTTACTTTTATGGTGCTTATCCACAAGGCATTCGGTTGCATTTTAGCACTTATTAATTTGCATGCCCGTACTGAGATTGACCTGCAGATCGCCTAGGGCGTTAATCAGCTTCAATGCTTTACTTTCTCAAAATTTTACATACCTTCGTTCTAACTCGTTATTAATTCTGTGTTGCTACTGGAAAAAAGATGCTAAAAGCCTGAAATCAATAAATACAAAAACTACCGTTTATTTAATCAACAAAACTAGTGTATAAATGAAAATCAAGTCTTCTAAAAGTGTCAGAATGTGCAAAAGTTCTGGCCTCGCTTTACAAACGTGCGCTATCGAAAACTCTGGAGGTAGATGGTCATTTTGTGACGATAAAGTGTCATCCATGGGTGAACAATGACATGCATTAGACTTCTAAACATGTCATCATTTAGGCAACATTTAAAGTGTAAGTTTTGCCTTAAGCTTTTTTTTAAAAAAATTGGTTAACACCAATATACTGAGTTACCATTAGTCTACACACTTATTTGATAAGAAAGTAAAGTGTACCGCAATGCGTTAACCTGGCTTAATAAAGAATAATTTAAAGTCAAATCGTAATCTCGAAGTTCGTTTAAGATAAGGAGATAATATTTCAACCTGTAGTCGATGTCTTTAGTGATCGTTATTATAGCTTAATTTGTGAATTATACTAGCTAGAAATCTCGAGGCGAAAATAGCAATGCCTATATTATCCTTGCATGAACTGTTACTGAAAGTCTTCGATTTAGAATTGCCTTGATTCGGACAGTAGGTTTGCTAGCACACCTGAAATTTTTGTCGTTTGTTTGCTAGTTTCCTTTGAATTGGCCACCTACAGATACTCTCACAAGTTCGAATTTTCAACAAATTTCCAATATACTGGCCGTGAGGCTAGGGTGACTTCAATAGTCAAGCGGAGACTTTTCGAATTTGCAAACATGTGTTAGCTCTTAATCCTTTTCCATTTTATTATTGCTGTAGGATCGGTGGATCAAAAATATGTCTCTCGATTGTTATCTTAATTGTTTCACAGCGTACTACCATGGCGATTGAAGGACCGATCACTATAGCTGAGCAACGTCATTGCGATCGCTTCTGTTTCAACTCAGGCTCCTGTTTCGAATGTGCCCGAGATCCCTTTGGTTTGGCCCAGTGTGTGGGCTGTCTGTGCCCCCAGAACCTGTGGGCGGGTCAGCGCTGCGAATTCCGAGTGGGCTACAAAGAGAACGTCGACGCCTCAACCATCCTTTCGTGGTTCTTTGGCCTACTCACAATATGTCTCAGCGCTTATCTTGTCTTTAGCTACTTTAGCCACAGAAAAAAGCGCGCTGACCCCTTTATTACACCGCTTTCCCAAGTTCCTGCGATGTCCTCGTCGAATGAACGACTCGAAACTCCCACACCGGTTTTGGGTCACTCATACGTCAACGCGGGAGTGTAAGCAATCAATGCCATCAATACTCACACCCAAACTTATATAATTTAGTTTGATTTTAAACTCAGAATTATCATTTATCATACACATTTTTAAATTTTATAAACTTATATTGATAAAGTGAAATTTAGTAATTGCTTCTTTTAATTGGAAATCCTACCAATCGACAGAAAGGACAATAAATAAATGACCATCAGACAAGCAAACGTTTTATGAAGCTAAAACTAAATACATATATTATCCTACCTGATTGGTCAAAATACAGATGATTAGGTAATAGAGGGCTTCTTTGGCCAAAAAGCTTCGGTAAGTTGTGCCAGTGCTTTGTTTAGCTACTGGTGATTTATGGTGTTTCCAGAGAATTCTAGTTTGACTGAGCTACGGTAAAGGGCTTCTTGATGGTTGCCCAAAAGAGAGGTCCAAATGAACTATTTAATTGTGCGTTTTTCTGAAGTCGCAAGAGCTTTCCATGTAGTTTGTCGGACCAGTTCTTTTCCTCCTATTGTGGTCCGGTACTTTAGTTTCATGTTATCATTCTCATATCTACGTTGCTGGAATTGTCGTCATTGTCAAATATCCCAATAAGTCGCACGTATAGGTTGGCATAGATTAAAGTACCCATATTTGACTTTATTATCTTTTCACATCCTTTAGCAGTGCGTTTTCAAAATGTATGGGGCCACAACTTCTGAGATGGTTTCACAAAAATAACCCAATTAAGATGGGCAGTAGTTCTGCACTGGCATTCATTTTCAATATCAAAAACGTGAACTGATTGCCTTAGTTGTGTATGGGTTCTCCTATCAACTGTATAGAAGACTTTAAATTGAAATCCTTTAGAAGTGGACACATTCTGAAAGTGGGTTAAGTGTTGGCTACGTCTGAGTTTTGAAGGGTAAGAGTGATGATGGTGCTATTTTTCAAGCAGAAGGGAGTTGTCACCACTCAGACCTTCTATTGGAAATCAAAGAGAATGGTGTAAGAGCTTTAACACAAACCTGTCGGTGGCGGCAACGAAAGGGCGTGTTTTATACCAAACCATTCCTATAGAATTCAACTCTAAATGTGTAATTAGACTATGCGCAATGGCAGTTCATGGCAGATTGTGCTTTTGTGCTGGCTCAAATCACTATGTGTTTTTTTCGGAAACTGCAGGAAATATGTAGCTATGAACCAAAAATAGCACAATCCACCTACTTAGTACAAAGATAAAGAAGGATCCATGCTAGCATAATGTTTAACTGGCTCACTCTAGAGGCATAACAAAACGCAAGAGCACAAATGTCTATGGTTTGAGCCAGCTTCATGACCAATACATAAGTAGGAGTGTTAAATGGAGTATGTCAATAGTGTAAAGCTTGGTCGGTGTGAATATACTATGTATTGAATTTGGAGAGTTTAAAAGTGAAGACTTCGAGAACCGAAGGTGACAATTTTCGATTTTAAACCAATATGTTTTTCCTAGCAGACCACACATAATGTCTAGTATCATCTTAATAAGTTGTCTTTGCAGCATGATATTTTCAACTGATCTTAGTAAGACGGAACATTAAGTGTATCCGATATAATCATATGATTTCAAGTCATTTATGATTAGATGACAACGACTGATGAATAGGCTGTTTAAATTACTTCACTCAGATCCACCGTCAAAAGGTACATTTCAAAAACCGTACAAAAATAGGCTAATTCCAGGCACTTTCTAAAAGCCTCCCATGCCACTTCAATTATTTTTACCACTAGTCTCTGAAAATGAAGGTGACGGAATTTGAACTTTGGCCGTCATAAATTTGCGTTATTTTTTATATTATAAATGACAGTTTTGGAGAATGATTGCATAAATCTGATTTAAAACTTGCAAGCAAACAATTCCATCAAATCTGGTTATTCGCTTTTGTGGTTTGGTCCATTTATGTTCTTATGCAAACAATTAATTTTCACACATAATGAGATTTCACAATTTAATTTTCCTTTGTACCTTAAATAACATACCTTGGATTTAAAATAATAACTATACCCAGACAAGCTTTTTTACAAGTTCAACTAACGCTAAGCCCTCCCCTAAGTGCCTTCTTCTACAGTGGTGCCAAGGGGTACAATATTTCTCGAAACAATTCAAACCTTTTAAAATTCTGGTATATTTAGCTAACCATGTCCTTAAAGGTAAAAAATGCAAGGTAAAGTAAGGTGAGCCATTTCTCCGATCTGATAACTTACTAAATATAGTTTCTAATTCATGATAAGTGTCTTGACGGATAACCGTTCCAGGTGCCTTTCTGCTTGAATGAAATAACGCTTAACCACGTTTACTCACAAATTGTTCCTACATATTTGTTAATTTTTTGCTTAAAAAATAACTAATTAAGCGTGCACTAAAAGAGGTGTCTTGCAGAGGAAAATACTTATTTCGACATCAACAATGAATTCTAATAAACGTTGCTGCTTTCTTATTGCGTAATTTTTGCCAAAAAAGAAATACATAAAAATCAGCGATTTTTTGTATTGTTTTTTGAAAGAAATGTATGTGGTAAGTAATATTAACTTGTTTGTTTAAGTATTCTTTTTGTTATCATTAGCGCTGCCTACGGAAAATTTGGGTGGACTGTGTTATTTAATATGATGGCTGTAGCGTCTGAACACCTTGACAGCGTTGTGCAGGGTATATGATTTGTATTTTTTATAACTTACTTCCTTATGTGCAGGTCAATAGTTTTTGCATCAACCGTTTAAGTTGTGCATGCAGCTCTTGGTGCTTATCTAAGGCTGTCCATTTTTCTAACTGACATAGAATGATTATGAAATATTTACGATTTTTAAATTTATCACAGCCATTTTCAGTTTCTTGATTCTTATACTTCGTCTTACTCGGCTTGGTGTGGCGTTTTATTACTCCTTAGTTAATTTGAAGTTAGTAGTTCCTTTCTCTGACGACTGATATATTCTGTTTTTAGAAAATGACTCCCATTTAAAGTCAAGTGAAGAGGCCCTTATACACTTAGAGGAAGTTATATCTCATGTTATTTCCGAGGCTGTTGAGTATGCCGATAAACCCCCTGAAGAACGGACACTTCCTGCTCTAGTTCGGAAGTCTGTTACTCAACCTCGCAGGAATCCTGCGGTGAGCAGTTACGGCAATATCGCGATCCCAAGCAATGGGTCTCATATTATGGGGTTTGGTCAAATGGGAACATACGGATTTTCTCAAGTTCAGCCTCAAGCTCATGCGAACCCTCGGTTTGCAGGTGAGTTATTTGTTTCGCGTTTAATTATCTATTTTAGTACAAAATAATGCCATATTGCAACAAAATCCCCAACGTATTATGACGCAATACAACGGCATTCAACCTAGCCAGTACCACACACAAAACGCTCAGATACATCAGCAGTATACTCAAGCCGCTCAGCAGTTTCAAATCCAGCAGCAGCAGGCCCAATATCACATGCAGCTTCAGCAACAAGTGAGTAACACATTTATTGGAGTTCCAGATAGCTGTCCGTTCATCTGTTGCTCAAATTCGTGTCATTTGTAGCAGGTCTCTAGTAAATTTATTGTCTTCCGGAGCAACAGTGTTCATATTGCAGGTGTTTTTTGCACCATTTCGTTTTGTTACCTAACTTTAATGCTATGATTCCCTTACACTATTTCCTACTGCACTTATGTTGCATGTATTGTAACAGTATTGGTATAGTCTTTGCTTTCCGCCCAGCTGTAGGTGTGCTAAGCTTTGGTTCATGTCGTACATTTGCAGGAGTTGCCATTTCGCATATTTTTGCCTGACAATACTTTCAAAGCCGCCTGTTGGTAAGTTTCAACCTAACCATGGGCAAAATAGCTCACTTGCAAATTGCTGCTTTAACGTGATATTAAGCATTTTAACCGACTCATTCGACATAATCCACAATCATTATAATGTGCTAAACAGGCACATGCAGTTACGTTGAAACATTGTCTATAGTCTCCCTAATGAATTCTTTCAGTTGGATTACCTCCTGAATCATCTGCATAACCAATTTCCTGGGGTACGCCTTAGAGTTTATTCCAGGCTTCAAACGATCTAATTGACAATATCTATGCTATTAATCTTTTAATCACCGTCGAATAGGTCATCTCAAAAATATAGTTTTGTATGACGTAGACACTTGATGTGCGGTAAGCGTCTACCGGGTTATTTGTTCTCAACATAATCTCCCTAGTTGTGCGTTGATTCCCTGCTATCGTATAGGTGTGAATTCACGGCTTGCTTTCCTAAGCCTTTTATATTGTGTCGTGCCTTTGTTATCTTCGCGATTGAATTGCTTAAATCGGGACGAACAATTCTGGTTATTCGTCGATAATCATTAATGCACTTGGCTTTTTCGAAGGTCTATCTCATAACGTGTTATTGGCGTGTTCTTTTTCGTTATGTGTCCTCTGTCGTTTGGAAACCAGTCGTATTTTGTGGATATTGAGTTCATCTTCTCAAGTCCACATTTCTGTCAGCCAGAGGGGTATGATACGCTGCGCCACAGTCCGTTTTTTCTTTAAGTCCTAAAGTTGGTCCTCTTTTCCACCACTGATGTGATTAAAAACAATAGGGACGATGTGCCTTTGGCCACCACCAACAAATTTAGTGGTTACGGTGGAAAAGCACCTTTTTCGACAGGTCCTGTTTACTTTTATGCCGTATTTTGTTTGCAAACATATCACGTGTGCCAACGAACTTTTTACGATATTGTTAATTGCCGAATATTTCGTGTGCATCCATTGCGTTAATGCCTTTAATTTACTCATGGTTATCGGTAGACATTTAAGGTTAGTTGGCATTGTTTTATTCTGGACTTTAACTATCTATCATCGCCAAGGAATATCTGCTAACAATGGTTATTGATAACCGATGAATCTAAACCCCTTCAATTTGTTGAATTTCGCCCCTTATGTTGGCTAGTGCTAGTCATACATTATTCGTGTGCTATCACACCACTCTGTTTTGAACGTTTTCCAGACAAGCTGAACCTCTACAGTCTAAACCAGAAATGTCGGTCGAATCAAGCTCCTAAATAGTTAAAATCAATTAAGAGAAAGCCTTAAAGCGACACTTTAAAAATTGACTTGACAGAACACCAGCAAAGCGATTATTTAACCGCAAATAAAAGCCAATCATTCTGTTGGCCTTTAAGCCTAAAGGGCTATGCTACTAAGCGTCACAATTATCGTAATAACATCCGTCGGAACGTTCCACAAAAATACCATGGTCGAAAGGCAGAAAAGCAGAACATGGCATCTTCGTTCGGATACCTTTGCTCACATTACCTTGTCTTGATTGCCCTAATTTTTGCCTTTTCGAACGTGTGCCTTTTGTACGAGAAATTCGGCGCACCTCCCCTGTGTGCGCTCGCGTGTCTGTCAAAGTAATTCGTTCGTTGACATTCCCGCGTGCATGCGCGCACACGTTTCCTTCCATCCCTCGCTTGTGCCTTATCGACCGTGCTAGTACGCGCGTGCGAACGTATGTGTGTTCTCTTCCGACCTATCTGAGTTAGCTGCGTGCACGCATGGTAGTATGCGCGCACGTGCATGTACGCGACCCTCCCTTTGTGGGCTCGGGCGCATGCGTGCGGTCGTGCGTCCAATCTGGTTTTCCCGTGCGGACGTTGGTGTGTGCTATCGTGAATCATTTTTCACTTAGTCACCTCGCTCGTGCATGCGTGCTTCAACGTACTTTTGATATCGTAATCATTGGTTGCGAATTATAGTAAGTCTTTCCAAATCGTTGGGTTGGTGGGTCACTGATTTGGTCGTCCGGCATAACCTTTATTGATATACTAAGTCAACATCCAACCCAAACAAGTATCCCACCCTACTCAATGGCGATCTGACGTTCATTCCTGTCACGGAACGAGTATGAGCAGTTTCAAGATCTAGAGCACTTATTAATGCCCCATATTTTTACTTTGCGCCCCTAAGGGTATCATACGCTACTAAATCATCCGTTTTGCTCGAAAATGACATCGCGTTAACAATTTCTAGGTGTCACTGCACCAAAGATAGTGCTTTCAAGGGTGTGTTCATGGTAGACGTGATAATTCCTAGGGAGAGAGAGAGAGAGAGGATTGGAGTATGTGAGGGGTTCGACGTTTATTCCGTCACAAAGACCCTTTTTGTGTGAAGCAATGTCTTGACCTAAACTTTGCCATGTGTATAACAGCCGTTTTGGAAGCAAGTAAATGTCTTGGTGCTTTTTTCAACTATCTGCGACGTCTTTTTTATCCCTACTGCGTAGTTTTAGTGTCTTTATTATGCATTGTCTGCGGGGATGCAATGTTTTAACTAAACAATTCTAACCTGAAATAAAACAAACACACCCTGCCTAGTTTCTCTGTTGCGTTTCGTTTGCTGTGCTTACGTAATATTTGCCACTCTAACCAACGATTTGAAGTTTCGAAAACCATAGCTTTCATTCAGCGCGGCTTTGGTAATCTTATTTACTAGGATATTTAATGGTTATTTGTTCAAGGACCGGTCACCATACAGGTTATAGGGACACCACGGAGGTGAAGAATATGTTGGACGAAACTAGCGTCGTGTCTGCCATCGAAGTAGTAGATGTCCGGTTGCCAGTTGCATGTGAAGTTTACTGGCTTTGTCCTATCACTTCTATCGCAGTCACGTCACCAAGCCGGCTCTCCTAACGCCTATTATTTTGATTGCATTTATATTACTCTTACTTGGTTTTGCCACCACTTACCTGTCTTGTGAGGCTATTTCGCGTCTGCACCGAGATATGTAAATTTCAGTAAAGATGACTGCTAATAACGATTTGTGTTCTACTTTAAAAATGCGGATACAATTTTCGAAATTTTAGCAGGCCGCGGCAGCCGCAGCAGCTCAACAGCAGCAGCAGCAGCAACAGCAAATGATGTATGCGGGAAGCACGTCTTTTTCGGTGGTACCACCGGCGACCCCATCCTCCACCCCCACCGCTGTCACTTCTAGCAATCCCCAAGCGGCAGCAGTCCCAGCACCTCCTTTGGCTGTCTCTCCCACTGGGGGTCAGCAGCAGTCGCTGACCCCTCAACAACTCCATCAACTCTCTGCTGCGTATGCCGCCGCGCATCAACTACCTGGTAAGTTTCTTTAATGAGCAATGGCGGAATCAAGACAAGGTTTTGATGGCGCTCTTATACGTAGCGTCTGTCAAGTTCACTCTTTATTCAATATTCCTGTTATTAATTAAAGCTCAGATAAGTGTCCATCACTTTTATTCCAACTTAGATCCCGAATATTTCGTCTAGGCATGCGTTTAAATGTGGTACGTTCTTACGACGATTCCGTTTTTCCGTGTTAGGGTTCGTTTTTCGACATGCTTCTTTTTACTTTTTGTTCACTGCAGTAGCCCCTGTTCGTAGACACACGTCCCCTTGTTTCATAAATATGGCTCAGCAAGCTGTTTTGCTTCCCAGCGTTGCTTTGGCTGCTGACAAAAATATATTTGTTCCTTTCCTTGTCTGTTTGCTTGCTCTGACGTTGCTCTTCACAAGAGACAATTAAAACACTATTTCATCTTGAATTCGCCGTCCGTGCTTTGATTGCGTATCTCGAAATAGTTAACTATATGTTGGCTCTGCTTAGTAAGCCGTGTGTCGCCATAATACCTATGAATCACCTCTGGTCTTCATTGTCACTTACCGCTATTTATGCATCTCAACTGGTGTTCATTTGGGACTTAAGTGAGAAACTGGTATTCGCTTGATGAATCATTTCAACTTAAGTGCCTCGTACGTACATAGGTTATGACATAATTGTTTTTTCATTTTATTTAAAAGTCCTGTTTTGCATTTGTTAATGCACCTTTTCGGGGGACTCGGGAGACCCCGTATGAAATTAGTTAAACCGTATTTGTACCGATGCTATTCGTCATAAGCTCAAATTTGCTCAGCAGCCTCGATATTTGATTTGCTTTATTAGTCTTTACTTACTATTCCTGCTTGTTCTTCCAACTGTCGTGATGCAAGACTTGTTCGTCAAACAACACTTGTATAAACACAGCGTACTGATGCATAAAGTACTTGCTGACCATGCAGAATCTTCTATCTTGTAACACACTGTTAACCCTAGATACCAAGAGACTAATTTGTTCTGCCTCTCACTTTGAGGTTGCTGTTTCCCATCTACTTTATCTATCTCTGAACTCCACGGGCCTATCTGGTTTTCAGTTGTAGGTGACTTCGGCGTTATTTGTCGCATGGATTGACCAAAGTGTATCGTATTCCTAGGTAGTCACTTCCAAATTAGAATTACGCCTTTGTGCATTCCTTTCAGGCATGATCCAAACCTTTACACCGACCCAACAGTCTCAGGCCCAAACTCAGCAGATGGCAGCGGTTGCTGTTCAACAGCAACAGCAGCAACAGAGATGGACGGGTGCTTCTCCAACTGGTGTCTATCAGCAACAGCAACAAACCACCACACCATCGGACGCTCAGCAGCAGCAATTCCTCCACGCACAAGTTCAGGCTCAGGCTCAAGTAATACTCGTTTCTAAAGCCCTGCTTTGTTGTTGTCGCTGGCTAAAGTTGCGTAAAAAATTTGACAAATGACTTCTGCAGCGTAACCAAGTCGTGGAATTGGTTGATGGTCTTTTAGGGTAATCTAACGCTTTCTATGCTATTTTATAAACATGCAACACAGGTATTCTATCTCAGGTACATAATATCCTCGTGTAGTGTTATGTTTTGATCCACAGTGTCATCGTAATGTGAGCCGAGCCACGGGTGGGTTGTTGATTTAGAATGCTCCCGATATATCTTGCACCTTAGGTGGGCCTAGCGGCCTGGTTTGTCAATGTACTCGAACATTTAGTAGTGACTATCTGGTTGGTAAGTCAAAACTCCCAGTGTGGTAAATATTTAACGTCTAAAACACAACTGCCGTGTATGGTTGCTGTTTGTAGCAGTTTCGGTTAGTTATCCACTTCTCTGCACTGTTGTTTTAGGCTCAAGCACAGCATCAATATCTCCAAGCCCAGGTCCAGCAGCATTTACAAACCCAGCAGCAGAATGTCTCCAATCACCATTCTTTCGGTTGACCTTGCTGAATGCGTCGCTTAGCAAAGGCACCCAACGCCACAGTAGACACTCCCGCAACACGATACCATCGAGAAGAAGCTCGAATATCAGTAGTTTCCTTCGAACCTTCTATTTCCCCTTTTTTAATACACTACCCACTTTGCATTTTGCAACACCTGTTATCCAATCCACTTTACGTACTCGATTTCAACCCATTCAGAGACCTGCCTTGGGAACCGCGATTTTTTTATTGCTCGTTGTCTTGTGCATGCCAGAAGGTCTCGCCGACGCAGACGCGCGTACAAATGATAACACATGAAACCCGTCTGTACATTATTTCCATTCCCACATTTCACGTGCACACTGTCAACAGCAGTGCCTTTTGCCTCCTCCCTTCACATCCACCCCATCAATCAGATTCGAATTCCTAATGCGCGCGAGTCTCAGGTGCTGTCGTCGTTGCCTGCCTATCTCATATATATGTATATGAACACCTACTCAATGATGCCTTTTGTAAATGAGTCCCTTTCTGTTCCCTTCCTGCTCATATCAGACTGACAGTTAAGTGTCGCTGTTCTGCTTCGCTCCCCTTTTTTGTGTCTTACCGTTTTACCAAAAACGGTCGCGTCACGTGCTGAAGTCTGCAAGTGTACGTACTGCAAATTGACGAGCCGAGGTTCGTACCCACTCCGACCTCCTTTCCCATTTTTTTAAATTCACAATATTTAGCTATCTTGTAGAGAAATATAAAATGACAAAAGTTAGCACTGTGCCCTTTATCATGGGATGGTTTCTAAATCTATTTTCACTCTGTCTGATAAGTTGTAACGCATGGTAAGAGCAGCCATAAAGATCAATGACATTGGGGTAAACGCAATCGTCACTCCACCTTGCGCAACCGACGGGATCCGGCCCTCGGGTTCTTAGCAAACTTCATTCCCTAATTTCAGCGCGGTGTCCGGATCTCCTGGGTGTTAATTAGTATTGCATCGCAATTTCTCTAAGTAGACCTCTTAAGTGTCCCGTGCTTGGTACGCTGTCAGGGTGCTGAGACTAACTCTTCCTGGTGCTCCTTACGTGAGCGATTTCGTCATACACGGCGACATAGCGCTTGTGTCCTTGTCGATGTGCGGGAGGTTAGTTGGTCCATTATAACAGAGTGTACTTAATTAATGTTTTTTGATAACACTGGAAACTGTCCGCTTGTGGAACAAGCTGTCAAACCACGCATTGTGCTTACGAATGACATTACAGGGTGCCTGACATCATTTAAGGCAGTTCCATCTGTACGTGATTGAAACCAAATCGACTGTGCCTCCTGCGTTATGCGCATTCACTCATTGCAAGGGTTCGGCATTTACAGCTTAGGCACCCTCTAAGTCAATGTCTTGATGTATGCTTCCTTTTCGAACAGCAGCACATTCTTCTCAAATGTAGTATTTGGCAATTCGATCGAGCGACATCAAAATATGTCCGGTAGTTCTTAACTCACTCTTTTTCATAGTATTCTAATCTTCAATGGATACTAGCATTGGAACAATTTTTAAATTGAGTGCCTTACAACTCCGTGACAAATTGCCATTGTCAATTTCTCATTTTTTAATGAATTTGCATCATCGGTTTAAGGACTAGCCCCCTCTCAGTGCACGAAGAGAATTCTAAGTTCAAATCTAGTCACCAGCGTGAGGTCTAGTTACATGGGCCAAGTAGCTGTTGAGCGCTGGTCGTTCCACCAGCTCGTACTTTTATTTGGCAATATATTCGTGGCATCATACCATTATCCTTTGGCAATATGCTTCTGATTTAGCCAGTAACACGATATCTTTAGAAACTGGTCCGGTCAGCCTCATGCAAATACAGCTCAACAACTTTCCCTCTCTCTTCATAAAGCAGTAAAGTGCATCCTGGTAATAAAATTTGCTAGGACGTTAAGTACTTCCATATGGCCTTATTGAACTTGGCACAGTTGCTCAAATTTACAATCTGTACCAAAATGCCATATACATTTTAGGCAATTTCCACACAAACATCTCTTGATTTTTGTCAGATGTCTTCCGGTAATGGAATGCATTAAGTCAGATGCATGTTCGTAATTCAGAACTCATAATTACAGAAAACAACAAAATCGTGACACGAGAGGCCTAATCTAGCATACTCTTCACTAGATAACATTAATCCATTTTCCGCGGTGACTTAGGTCACCCGTTAATGTTAACCTCAAATAAGCAACCCCACCTTTCAAGCTACCTTGACACTTTTTTGCAATTTCTTTATATTATTTTGTCACTGTTTGCTCAGATATTTAATATGGCTTGCGTGCATTTCGATAGCTCTACAGCTTTACTTTCCAAACGCACCCCGACCACAAGCAGAATCCAGACAGTGGGGTATTTGATGGATGATTGTGTTGAAGTGCAATCCGTGAGCCAAGCTAGTACATCCCAATCACCAGTGTTAGAAACCCCGGCTTCGGTGTCAAACCTACACAGAGAATCCCATAATTGGGATTCTGCTACTTTCCTCAGAAGCCCAAAAAGACTAAAACTAAAATACTACGTATACAACCGGCTTTTAGATGGCTTAAATTAATTGTTACGGTACCACAATACAAATAATGTCGTTGATATGGAAGTAAGCACAAAAGGGTGCGTTCTCAGACGTCCCAGAATTCACCACTTTGTGGACGGAGACAGAGAGGTAAGGGGGAGAGGGCAAAACAGACGCGCGACGGCTGAACATGTGTCGACAGAATTGACTGATGTGGATTAATACCATTCAACAGTCAGATTTCGTTCGAAGTAGACATTCCCTCGGCCACTAGACATCCCCTCTCCAGTCATATTCTCGCGCCATACACCAACTTGCATCCTCAAAATTCACCTTCCACCTTTGTAATTCTTGATTTTATTTTCGCCCAACACTTTCAACTCCACCCTTCCCCCAATTATTTGCTTGGTTCTTTTACACGGCTGTTTTAGCTAGTAAAAGCAACGCATAAATCCAAGTGCGGATTTCGATACGCCAATTATGAAGCCGGTCAAAAGCCGAGAAATTATCGCTTAGTATTTTTCGGTGCTAATAAGGGTTAGAAGTGACCCCTTTCCCACAAATCTGCACCCTCTGCAAAGAGCACTGTCACCCCTCTAGTAGCACGCCACTAGTTCCGTTGCTTTAAATAAACTTTGGGTACTTTCAGTTCTGATTACGAATTCACTTTCGCATGGAGTAGGCAACGTGAACAAGAAAAGCCACTCCATGTATATCTCCAGTTAAACCCCTCCCCACCCTCCAATTTGGCACATTTCAGCAACCAAGCGCCTAATAGGCCTACACAAAATTGGTCATGAACTGCTACTACGCGACACGGAAATGAAAACGACCATTCCAGCACTGGCTCTAGCCTTGAATAGTTTTTAAATTAGCTATTATAATTTGAAGCTAACAATTCGGACGAAACAGTAAGGTACCACAGGATACCGAAAAGGATAGTGTTCGTCATGAACTTAAACGGCGCTAATTACCCTCCATCACTGTTATCCACAGAATGAATAAAAACATGGACAGTCGATCATATTTCAGCATTTTCTTGAAAATTGTAGACCTGTACAAGATAAAAAACAGGTTGTGTAAATAAACTATGCAGATATTTTTGCTTTTTTAGTTCGCTTCCAAACCTTCCCCGTCGGCTTCGCCTTTCGCTTTTCAGGAACTTTGGCAATGGGCTCGTCTGAGGAGGCATCACTTTCGTCAGCACTAACAGGTTCTTCCGAGTTTCCACCGAGAGACACGACGTTGGAGATGAAGGTTTGAATCTCCTTGCCCGGCAACTCAAATAACGAGTGGTCTCGAATTCTGACTGAATCTATGAAGTTTGCCAACCATAGACGAAGGCCCTCCAGCGCCGCTTTGACGTTTACGGTGAGACCTAACTCACCACTGGGCAACTCACGGTGACAGGCAAAGGCGCTAAGACGCTGCAAATTTGCTTCTGTGAAAGAAGTTAACCCACGTAATTGTGAGCATTCGGCAGAATCCTTAAAACGTAATCCGATCCACCGCCCTGAATGACGATCCCACAGATATTCAAAGAGATCTAATCTCCCTAATTTCAACTAAAAAGGGAAGTGTTGATTTGTTAATCAAAACAATCCACCCAAATACCCTTTTGGCATCTGAATGTGATGAAATTTACCCCAAGGTTATTAATAGTCAACAAAAAAAGTAGTGGACTTTAAGTCAATACTTGGTTCTAGACATAGAATCATGTCTGGTATTGGGACAAAGGGCCTCGACATTGATCCCGAGGACGACCTTTTAACATTGAAGAGTAATAGGAATCTGACTAGGACGAAAGATGCAAGTGGGTTGGTCACAATACTATCAAATCAGCCTCTTACCATAGCAAGATTAAGCATCCAGTTGACCGAACGACAGGACACAAAACTAAGTGGCTGCCTACAAAAAGGATTCCGGTACCGTATAATTATAAACAGACAAATCATTTATTGATGATTACTACAAATATTTCTTCAGCTCATGCAACTTCATGTTGCCCTGTCAATGAATCAAGAAAAGAAACGACTTATTAGTAATCAACTGACATTTAATGTGTTGCTTGGAGGCCACATCATAGATATCTTGGTCCTAAGTGCAAATCCGATGGGAAGGCGGCCTCGGGGTGACCAACGGAATTTTAACATGCGCTAAATGCAGCTAATACAAAGTGTTTCCACTAACAACGTGCCGGTCATCAGCATTTGAACGGTGATACTACGCTCAGATGAATGTGTCCGCGACAACAACGGCCCCATCTTTGGTGAGAGTGGATAGATCTTTTTTCCAGTAAAATACCTGAAATGGTTCCACTACATGCTAATTTATCCTTAGTTTACAACGTTATTAAATTTTGATAAATTAGAAGGCAGGAAAAAACATACGTGAATTTGGCGCAGAGACCATGTTACAGGATCACAGAGGTATCCCTTAGGCCAAAATCTTGCACCAGGATTCGGCAACTCGAGGGTGACGGGGCTGGGCTCTTTGATTGAGGCAGAGGGCTGAGCACCATTTGATCTGTCACTTGATCTTTTATGCGTCCAACTCGGCAAATCGATATCAACGGCTTCTAGCAAACGTGTTTTGTAGACAGCGGGTTTAAGCGTGATCAGAACATCCATTTTGGATAGATCAGGTCGGAAAACAGCCTAAAGTATAAGTATACTGCAAGATGTACCACAGTCAGGTGGTAAAATAATTTGCAAAACCAAGATACTTAATAAACAATGCTTTAAAGTGCGTACAGATTTCGCCAAAATCAATGAACGTTTTGGAGGACGAAAATACACATGGAAATATGAGCGGAATGCCTGAACATCACTAAAATCTCCATAAACAATATTTAAGCTACTAGGTCTGTAGGTACAAAGGGGCAACATTAAAACATTTCTAGAACGGTCAAATTGTGACTGAATTTACCCGATATAATAATTTAGACCAGTGGGTTTCAAAAGAATTCAAGCGACCGAATATGAACTTGACTTCACAACACAGAGAGTGTGACATGTCGATCTGCATCAATAAGCCCGAAATTCATGTTTTTTTTAAATATTGCAAGGATGCACTACCGCACTACCCATGAGGTGTCATGAAGAAATCCTATTCGGATTTAATGTCCGAAATTCAACTTAGGAAAAGTACAGATAATCATTATTTGAGCAGAATATGAAGAGAACATTATCAGTTATGCACAAGACTAATTCAACAGACAGAATAATAAACATACAGTCAAATTACTGAAAGAAGACAGGCGTTCAAACACCACTAGCATTGTTATGCTTACTGAATCTCAACTTTGCACAACAAATCATCTAGTGAGCCAACCATGACAACGCTTTGTAGCATAAACAAACTCTAAGGTGCTAATGAAAAAACTAACAAAGTCACAGTGTTGGCTATTTATCCACAAAATAAGGCAAAAATAAAGGATTTTTCACCCCTTCCTCTAAAAATCGATATTTTTAAGGGTCATTTACGTGCATCACGTTACGTCACATTAACCAGTGTCAGATAAAAAGCTTCGACGTACTTTTAGATCGGACAGTCTGGCACCTGCCACGAGCATAGCGCGGAGGAGGTCATACGAGTGTTTTGCCAACGTCTGAAGTCTTTTAAGACCGCTAACAGTAGGGCCACGAGAGGTCCAGTCGGTTCCTGAGAGGTCAAGAGGAGTGACAAGTACCATAGCAGGCAAATCCTCACGAGGAGTTACTTTGAAGGTAGTTACTGCGATATCCGCTTTCTCCCGACCTTCCCCTATTAAAAATTTAAAGCTTGGTCAGCTATAAACTAACGTGGATCTACCACAGAAACCATGAGTACCCGTACATATGTCTACAGGTACCTGTTAAATGCAACAAGGTAAACGCAGTCAGTGTCAACCTTATGGTTCAAATATGAACATATAACTACCGTAAAAGAAAACAATTATGAGTATCAGTGATGCAAACAAAATCCAAGCGATGTTTTACGATAGGAAGCAGGAGGTTGATAAATGTCTAAATACCGCTATCAGAAATCAATGGATTTAAAATAAAATTAAGTTGACGCACTAAAGCACGTTGAACTTAAATATAGCGAGGCGGCAAAGGGAGCAGAAATAAACTGAAAATACACAAACCCTCAGAAAAGCCCTCGTTCAAATCAATTAGAAGAGGCTGTCGGGCCCAATCAAACGAGTACAAGAACCGGAGAAAGCGCAAAAATGTAGCCAGCGGAGAAGAAGAAGCAAAATTTTCGCTGTTGGTACCAAACAATCCAGCCGTATATGAGGATGTCCGGACAGGTGGCGTAAAACTGCCCACATGGACAATAATCAACTCCACAGCTATTTCCGAAAGACGGCACTCGGCCACGCCCAAATCTGCGTCACCTTGATCAAATGAATGGGAAGTGAGACCACCAGGCTCTGTACAAGGATCGGGACACTGAATAACAGGGAAACCATGAGCAGAAAGCCATCGTTTTGCTAGACGACAAGCCTCAGGAAAACTATTTAGGTAACTTCTTGAAATGCCAACCAGTTGACTAGTCACGGCAGGAAGTCGGTCGTTAAATAGGAGCCACTCGTGTAAATCATCGGATGCAACGGGAAAAAAAGGTTGATTAGACTCGGAAGTTGCTTTTGTGAATTTCTGGTGGTTCACGGCAAGAGACCGACTAAGGAGAGTTTGTTCTAGCGGTTGGCAAAAACTGGTACGAATCACGATGCCGTTCTAAAAGGATACAAATTCAATCAGGAGAGATAGCCGAAGTGATAAAGGGTGTTTAAGCCAAAGGGAAACCAACCACAAATATATCCAACATGCCTGAAGCGATCACTCTAGAGGGGACACCTTTGTGAATCAGCAACTCGTGAATCCGAAGAAGAAAAAGGCGCTTCATATGGAGGAATGCCTGATAGTTGTCACGTGGCCATTTTCCCGAGGTTTCGAGATTTAGTATTACTATGGGGAAAATAAGTTGAAGTAGAAGCATGGGAATAAAGTAATATAGTTATAAAAGTAAAAAATGATTACCGTATAAGGGGCGCAGAATTTCATGAACATCACGCCAGGACTTGTGCTTGAGAGAGTTTGCTCTTCTTTTCGGTGGTCCATCAATGGTTAGAATTGGAGCAAATACGGATGTGCCACGGAATTCGGCGGAGATAGGCTGAACACCCATGATGTTTAATGGAAGGTGTTTATTGAGATCGAACAGAAGAGAATTGAGCTGGTCTACCGAACGAATAAGATGAAGGGTGCTAGCCCTAGGAGGAAACTGAATAAAGGTCTGAGGCGGCAGCAATGGAGAGAGGAGAGCGTTGAGGCGAGTCGATGTTACTTGATACCACGGACGCCGAGAGGTTCCGCCAGCAAATACAAACTTTCTACATTTTCGTTAAAAAAATTTTAAATTTGACTTAATAAGTACTACACACCAAAAACTGAGAGTTCTTACTTTGAGAGAACATGGTTGACAATTTGCAAAGTAACATTTTTAGAAGAATTCCAAAGAACACACTCAAATAGGTCTCCATCAACGTGTCTGATTTCGGATTTATCTCCCCAAAACTTCCTGAACTGATTGCCTGCGTCGGTGCCACTTCTTGGTCCGCGGATAATAGGAGAGTCTGACTGAGGTGGATTCAACTTTAAGCCAATAGCGGGAAAATCGGACTGCTTACATCCAAGATAATAAATACAAGCAAACCTTCGATCTAAGGGGTATACTGATACATTTAATCGCTGTCAAACGCTCAGTCATAGCATCAACTATCACAGGAGCAAGCGTGTTTAACCACTCAGTACGTTCAGTATCAGACGTAGGACGTGATTGCAAGAATTCGAAAGCATTGCAACGAAATCTAAGCCCATGCATTAGAAAGTACACCATACATAATCAAATGGTCGAATTCTTCAAGGGGATCCATCGGGAGGTGAGAACACATGCTAAATTTAAAGAACGCACAATTAGGATTTTGCAACTTAACAAATCAAACGCCACAAAAAAATTATTTTCATTTTAAATAATCATTCCTATTACCATTATAAAAATCCATTACAAATTATGCACTTACTAAACACTTAGTACATATCAACTATCATCGTAAGCTGATATCAATCTTCTGATTAAAAACCACCTATAGTAAAGGAAACATGGTAATATATCATAGTAGACAAACTTGTACCCAGGCCAATGTGTTTGTTAGATATCTACTAAATTATTAAAAAAATAACAACGACATATTGCTTTCTGTTACTGGTGCCTCTTAAAATGAAGAGGAGCGGCGAGGTAGAGGCGCAAAAAATTTACAGATTGCTCTACCAAGACGTGTTGTGTCGTTTGAAAATATTAACCATTATGCACGCACATTTTATTTCTTTATAACTCTAGCTTAAGTAAACAAGCAAAATTAAATTTTTTTATTGTTAAAAAAATATCGCGTGTAGAGGTGGTACCTGAAGATTTGTGAATGCAAAGATTTATATTAATTGCTAAATAAAGGCAGTGAGTTGAAATATTACGCACATAAATAGTGACCATTGAAACACGTAATCTAATTCTAACAAAGCAGCTTTTTTTTAATCGATATGCAAATATAAAATAAAAAATTACTCGCCTTGAACAGATATAATTCTCACTCCGATTTAATGATGAACTTACTTTGAACCGGTTGTACCACTTCTGATAAAATTAAATATACTTAAGGCCTGAGAATCGGTTTTTATTCAAGGATACAAGGTTTGTCAAAATTGGCCATCTGCCTAAACGTTGCATCAAATCCAGGGAACAATGTTGAGTACACACCTGTCCTTATTTTTCAAGATAGGCACAACATGTAGTAAGGGCAAATTACCACTGATAGTAAAAAATATTTCGTAAATAGACTCAGCAAATCATTAAATTTCATATTTAAGTGAATTAATGCGCAAACAAGGAAGCACCCACTTACGCTATCCAGCTCTTTAGTGTGCATTAACGATTCAGAGCTGTGTTCGCATGTGCAAAATATTTTGACTGTATACCCTCCACAGACATCATGTAAATACCATTCCTAGCATAAATGTTAAAGCCTTCACTTATGTGACCTTGTCCGGAATTTCACATCATAGCCACTGGGATGTCTAATTTATAAATTGCATTTCTGTGCAAGTTCTGAAAATGAAACTGCCTCACGACAAAATGGTATCGCGTTGATTCTATTAAGTTTATGCATTACTGCGGCATTTCAAACACAACTGATGCGCATGCCTCACGAGTACAGTGCGTCACTCATGGAAAACCATTTGGTCAAAGTCAGACAGCATATTTAAAGGCCAATTTGTATAAATTAATAAGTCATTCGTATTCAGAATAACCTACTTGCTTAATTTACAACTGGAGGGATGGCGTTTAGAGCAAGTTGGTCGATCAACGACTACGCATGCAAGAATAACTTTGTATAACACTAACACACTCTCTCGGAAATTACCATAAAATGGAGATGTCAGCAACAAAAACACATAACGCCTAGATGCTGTAGAACATCTTACAACATTTAGTGCGAAAACATGAAATTTTGCAAAAAAAAAACATTTGGACAATGCTTGACGAGAGCCGAAGCCTTCAAGAACTAATCGCTCAGTGGACCACTCTTAGATTGCCGGTAGAATTCCAAGTAAAGCCGGCAAACGCAAGCCTGTGAAGGACGTCTATCTCAGTTAAAATGTACCTCCGAACCGAACTCGTAATGCAATCATAGGTAGTCTTGAACAGACTTCCAATTGCACTGCAGTTCAAATGGACTAAGGAAGCTAGCAAAATACAAAGGTAAGGTGGAAGGCTTGGCTTTTGTGATTTACTAGGACCCGTGAAAAAAAGGATTCGACATTTCTAGATACCAGTCTGATTGCGTAACCATTAACTCAATGTGCGAGCAAGCAGGATGTCAACGAAAATTGCATGCACGGAGCTCCTGTGATCTGCAGTAACGTGATCGTTCAGATCTCCTTTGTTGTGCGCTCTGCGGCAAAGGTGTTTACACAGACAGACGTACAACTTTCCTACAACAAGGAGATAAAATTTTCGTTGGTTCACGAACTACAGCTGACAATGTTGATATCGGCTTTAGATATGCAGAGTCAGACGACGAAGCCGAGTCAGAGCATTCCGACAAGAGGACATCCATACACATTTGTGACTTTTTAACTGGTTCCTGACGATTTCCTGGAAAACATGTGCGCTGAAGAATTCCTAAGACACCACTCTCCTTCTCCTATGCACCCAAGACAAAGAGACAACGCAATGTCCCCATGTTGCATTGGGATAGCAAGGTGGACCTTCGATAACCAAGGCTTCATTGTGTCCAGATGTGAGATCTTGTACGAGGAATTTGCCACCGCCCTTCCAGCAGTCTTCAGGTGTTGGCCACATTCCACACTTGGTGAATCCCTACGACTTGCGGCAGGAATGCTGCCCATGGTCTTTTAACTAGGATGATCAAGAGTGCAATCGTGGCAGACTCACACTAATACCTCAAAGTGACTGCATATATTGGGTGTTTTAGATCAGAAATATGCAACGAAGTCTTGCAGTCACTGGGTTTCTCGTAGCCCTCCACGTATGCACCAGCAAATAACCTATCAAGTAATCCTTCCTACAGTTACCCATATAACTCACGGATAGCACTCTGAGTTTGCATGCCATCGCGTCCAATGAATATAAAGGAGCCCCACTTTTCATCGAGTGTCAATCAGCGAACCACGAGTTGCCATTCCGGTGCGACCTCTGTGCTGTGTCTATCCACCGCAACCAAGTGCACAACATGGACTACAACTGGCGCATATATTTACTCTCGCGCTTCCTGCACACCCATCTCGATGGATTAAACCATGCATTCATTAACTTCAACCGTCTGCTTTGTCTGCATCAACAACTAATGGGTTAGCTGAGTTCTTCTCTCGTAGGCCAGTTCAAGGTCAAGCCCTTTTTCTGGAATTGCAGTTCAGTTAGACGGCCAAATGCCTGCAGAATTCCCGAGCCCTAATAGGTAAAAGACCGATACAACATAGCAGGCTTTATTGACCAATCAGAAGCCAGAGCCACGCGTCAGGCGCCTTCCATCCGAGTCCACCGCGCTGGCCACGCCGCT